AACCGTGGTCCCTGTGTTTTGCTAAGCTTGTTCTAAGTCGGTGCTTTAGACCACTGAGCCATCTCACCAGCCCCATCAGTATTTATTGAGCACTTGTTCTGTGCTGTGCTGACGCCGCCGTCCTGGGCTCAGGCTCTGGCGGCGAACAGGTTGCTGCTGTGTGCCTGGTATCCCGTTGGCACTAGGATGACAGTGGGGAACAAGATGGACAGGGTCTCTGTGCCCGCGAAGGCTTTCCTCCTAGCAGAGTGTGAGTATCCCAGGAAATAAGACAGATAATGTGTTTAGCAGAAAGCCTGAGGTTAGGAAAGCAGGCACGGTCCCACTAGCCGTCCTTGCCACTTGTTGGCGGTGCTTGTGGTATCTTACAGTTCAGATGACTGTGGCTTTTAAAAGTCTTGGTTGGCTCTTCCATAAGTTCGCCTTGTGCCTTCTTAGTATGCGGCAAGTCTTCTTTGTCCTCGGTCCAGTGTGGATTCCCAGTTCAGCAAGGAGCTCTGCCCGAGGCTCCAGCCTGACACGGACTCATTGTTCAACCGGCAGCTTTTTGATTGTGATCTTTTCACTTGCAATCCTCCTCCCCTTTTGGAAGTACACTGGTGATTGCACCCAGACAGGGCTTCCCGAAAGCCAGGCAGGCACCCTCCCACTGAGCTACAGCCCTTTATTTTGAGACAAGGTCTCACTAAATTGCCCAGAGTGACCTCGAACTTTCGATCCTTTTCTGTCAGTCTCCCAAAGAGCTGGGATTCTAGGCCCCAGTTTGGCTACAGATCTGGCCTAGCCCACTATGAGTGACTTCCTTAGGGTCTTCCTGGAAAACCAATGGCTGGGCCTTCACCATTCCCCTAGGCTACCAGGCAGTGACCCTGTTAGACATAATAGAGGACATTGGGGTTGTGCAGATGAGCAGCTGGCTGCAGTCTGACTGAATTCTGCCTGGAGAAGGTGCCAGAGTATTCTGGGGCCAGTCCTGGAACGTGACGTGCTGGGACGGCTCTTTTTAAAATGTTTTTATTAGGACATTTGCTCTGGGAGGCTGAGGCAGGAGCATGACCAGCTTTAGCCCAGCCTAGCAACTTAGCAATTCAGCAAGACCCTATCTCAGGACGAAACAAGTTTAAGAAGAACTAACTGGAGTAGCTCAGTGCAGAGGCCCTGGGTTCAATCCCTAGTACTAGAGCGGGGGGGAAAAAAAAGGAGAGGGCATAAGAGACAGGGAGAGCAGACAGTCACCAGCTGCCTTTCTCTGGGGGTCCTTCCCATGGACAGTACACACATAAAAAGCTTTTGCACAGCAAAAGAAACCAAACAGAGTGAATAGACAACCCACAGAATGGGGAAACATTTTTGCCAGCTATACCTCAAAAAAAAGGACTATTATCTAGACTATATAAAGAGCAACAATAACAACAAAAATTAGAGCCCTTAAATTCAAAGACCCATCCAAAAATGGGCATCCGAAATGAATAAGACACTTCTCAGATGAAAAAGTATTGGGCAGGGGAGATAGCTCAGTAGAATAAGTGCTTGCCTGGCAAGGTCCTGAGTTCAATCCCCAGTACCACCAAAAAAAAAAAAAAAAAAAAAAAAAAGTATAAACAAGCTGGGTGTGATGGTGCACACTTGTAATACCAGCACCTGCAGGCTGAAGCAGGAGCATTGTTGAGTTTGAGACCAGCCTGGGCAACACAGTGAGCTCAAGGCCAGCCTGAGCTGCGGAATGAGATCCCAGTTGTTAATTTTTTATAATATTTCCTGTATGATTAGGGTTTTGTTCATAACGTCTTTTCCTACACCTATGTCTTCAAGAGTTTTACTTATTCTATCTTTCAGCAGATAGTTTTGGTTTTTATATTTAGATCTTTGGTCCATTTTTTTTTTTTTTTTTTTTTTTTTTTTTTTGGGAATTGAACTCAGGACCTTTGATCCATTTTGATTTTAGTTCAGTGTGTGGTAAGAGATTTCCCAGCACCATTTATTCAAGACGCTGTCTTTCTTCCCGTGAAGGTGTTTGGGGCCAGCTCATACCTGCAGGCCAGATGAGACTGCTTGCACATCTTCGCAGCTCTGCATTCAGTGATTCATATTTATAGTTCATGAACAGCCACATGGGAGTATTTATACTCTGCCAAAACCTTGAGTCAGGCCCTCCTGCCGCCCTCTGTGGGTGCCCTGTAGAGTCAGGACCCCAGGGAAGGGCACTTTGGGGCTGTAGCCGCCTCCCCTGGGTCAGGGCAAGTGCGGGCGCTGTCTGAGGAAAGGGCCCCCAGAGAAAGGCAGCTGGCGATCTCTTCCTCTCCCTGCCTCTTATACCCTCCCTGGCTTTTTTCCTCCCTCCAGTACTAGGGACTGAACCCAGGGCCTTTTAAAAAAATTTTTTTTAAAAAAACATTTATTTATTTATGTGTGTGTGTGGCCAGCTCAGCCCACCAGGGGGCGCAGCTGGCTGGCATGTGGTGCTGAACCGTGGTCCCTGTGCTTTAGTCAAGCTTGTTCTAAGTAGGTGCTTTAGACCACTGAGCCATCTCACCAGCCCTGAACCCAGGGCCTTTGCACTGAGTTACCTTGCTAGTTCTTTTTAAACGTTTTGTTTTGGGATAGGGTCTTGCTGAATTGCTAAGTGGCCCAGGTTGGGCTTGAGCTGCTCATGCTCCTGCCTCAGCCTCCCAGAGCACGGGGATCACAGGTGCGCCCAGCGCCACTGCGGGCTAACAAGCTGGATTTTAACCCTTTCCTTCTCTTTGGGTCTTCTCAGGATGTGGGCTCCCTGGATGATAAGATGAAGAGCTTGGATGTCAATCAGGACTCGGAGCTCAAGTTCAGTGAGTACTGGAGACTGATTGGCGAGCTGGCCAAGGAAATCAGGAAGGAGAAGGCCCTGGAGATCAGGAAGAAGTAAAGCCCTGTGGGCTGGGCAGGGCCCGGCGGAACCTGTATTACTCCCCAATAAAGCTTCCCTCTAGAAACAAATGTTTCTCACTCGTGTTTCTTCTCCAGAGACCCGAGGGTGAGTGTGAACATCATGAGTTCCTTGAAGCCGGAGAGTATTGTTTGTCTTCAAATAGTTTGCTATGGATAGCAGCAGGTCTTGGACGGAATAGGTGCTCAATAAATAAATGGTTGAAGAATGAATATACAAAAGATAAAGAAATTAAAGGCAGGTTAGGTGGCTTCTATTTCGCCAGGTGCCTCCTATGGATGGGCAGTGTGGTTCTGGATTCAGCTTCTCCATCTTTTTCCTAGAGTTGCCCCTGATGACGGTGTTAGCATGGAATGTGTGTTGCGAGCTCACCGTGTCAAGCCCAGGTTAAACCTGTTACCTGCATTCAGCTGGGTGTGGGGGTGCATCCTTGTAATCCTGGCACTTGGGAAGCTGAGGCAGGAAGATCTCTATCAGTT